ATCTTGTAGCCAAAAACCAGGGCTTTCGATCTATCTTAGAAATATCTTAGTAGAAAATCGCTCCCTGTCGCCTAAATTTCGGCTGAAGTTAAAAAATTAAATTTTTTAGGCGTAAATTTCCGTAGATCATGTGATATTTCCGTAAATTTACGCCTAATTAAATTTCCTGATGCTAAGTAATATTATAGCTAAGAATATTTCGCATTTTGTATAAAGAATTTAGATTTTTTTTAATAAAAGTGAGTGAATAATGAGTGATTAAATTCCAAAGAATAATTTTTAAACATCTGATGTTTAGTTGTTGATATTAAATTATTAAATTCAATTCATAAGAAAAAAATTCTAAAAACTTCATAATGATACTCCAAATTCTTAATTATAAGATTAATTAGTAACACATTTGCTATTTTCTTAATATATTATAAACTTTTATATGTAGCAAATTTTGATAGTTATTTTAGATTTTTTAATTAATATCACTGTCAATTATTTTATTATTAATATTTTTTTAAAAAATCTGAAAATAATTTATCAAAAGGTTACTACATATAAAAGTTCATAATTTATTAATAAAACATCAAATGCAGTACTGATAATTCTTACAGCCAAGAACATGAAGCATCTTTTGTAAAGTTTTTAGAATTTATTCTTGCAATTAAATTTAATATCAATAGTTGAACACTGGATGTTTAAAAATTATTCTCTGGAATTTAATTGTTCATTATTTAATCAATTTTTATTAAATATTTCTAAATACTTCAGAAAAGATGTTACATATTATTAGCTATAATGTTACTTAGTATTAATTTTATTATTATTTTAGTAAATAAAAAACTTTTATATGTAGAAATAATTGATAATTATTTTTGTATTTTTTTAAAATTTTTAATAAATTTTAGTCATTTTTATTCACATCTAAGTAAAGCCTAAATTTTCAATAAATACTATAAAAAATGCTACTAATTAAAATTATAAATATTGTTTCTGGCTACAATTCAATATAAGATGGTTGGCATCTATTTTTAAAATCCATCGATTCTGGTAAAGACAATGATTAAAGATTAAATTTATTATTTTTTATCAATTTTATTTGAAGTGTAATTTCTCTACATGTAGATATTTAATTTTATATCATATGATATTCCTGATTTAGGAAAATTTAATAAAAAAAGTTTGTGCAATTTAGATTACTCGTGACACAATTTGCATTTAAATTTAGTAATTTTTTTAAAAATTTTTAACTTATAATCACCTATTGTATATACATAATTATGTTTATATGCAGGAGTTTGAATAATACAGGAAATGTGATTATCAAGATAAAAGCAGAGACAAATAATTTTTTGTACATCTTGATTATCAATATAACCAGAATCATATATGGTGAATATCAAATCAAGAATATACAGACATCTGGATCTAGTGAACAAATGGTAATGCATCCTGTTGGTTCTCACAAGGGATTACTTCCTTCTCATAGATACAAATAAAGATCCCATGTAAGTTTTGAATCGTGATTAATTTGTTCTTCTAATAGAGATATCTTTTGTAATTATTTGTAGGAGTTGCAACCAATTGCAACTAATTGTACTATATATCTTAATTAATTGTACCATATGTCTTAATTGATTATGCCATATGTCTTAATTGATTACATCACTTTTTTTGAATTATGAAAGGAATTTCTACCTTCTAATTTAGACCAATTGTTATTCTTTTTGTGATGTTCATGATAAAGGGAAGGATGTGTAATTGGATTTTTATGTTGGGGATATAAAGGATTATTAGAAGTTATTATGAAATTATGTAAAAGACAAGGTAAACTTGAGGTGGTCTGCAGTTTTGTTGACAGATTGTAACTGTCTGACATTTCTTATAACAATAAAATGAAAGTTGCTGATGTGATTTGCTTCTGCAGCTTGTACTTCCTTGTTCTTGTTTGAATGAGATCTCTTGCTTAAATTGTCTCTTTCATCATTTCATTGTACAGAATTTCCATTATGAAAGACCAAGTACCATTGTCAATTCATTGATGGTGAAGGATACAAGTAAAAGTGAGATTGATATGATAGTTACTATTTCAAAACTCCTCAACGACCATGTTATAAACAAGCCTTAAAATTTAAAAAGAAGGGAAAAAAATTAAAAATGGAGAAGAGAAGAAAATTCTCAAATTTAAATTCTTACAAATAAAAAATATATTCATTTCTTATCTAGAACATTTCATCCATTTCTTTATTAATTCCTTTTGCCTCAAATTCAAGTAAACTCATACCTTTATGCTTCTTATTAGTCCCCATTTTTCACACATCCAGTTTGCCATTCATTTGTTCTTCATCACATCATCGATTTTCAGCCAAGAATTGTCCTTGCAAATGGCAGATAAAAATCGTGTTAATGGTAAGGATATCCTGAGCAAGTTGCTAGCTGCTGATGAGATCAATACATTGTCACTTGTAATATCCGTAAGGATGAGGTGAAAAGGGTATTGTTTAAGGTATTGCTTCCATTGTTTGAGGTTGTCCGTTGTTTAGGGCTGGAAACTTGTGCATAAATGTATAAATAAATATAGATTTTAAGCAGAGGTGATTTATAAGCAGAGAAATCATTCACATTGGACATTGATAGTTTATTATGGCCATTAATTCATTTTTTAGTTATAAACAAGTAATCGAATTTGTTCTTTGATTAAATACTTAAATTTTCAAAGATTTCATATGACCATAATTATATTAACTTTATTTAATTATTTATAATATTAATGTGCAGTTTAAGTATAACAATATAATTTTAATTAGTAATTAGAAAATTTTGCTTAAAATTTATTTCAGAACTTAATTATCCAGTAACTTTGAGATGAGATTACGAAATCATCGTCATCTAATTTCAAGTCTTTTTACTGCAAATATTTGGTAAGTTAGTGTTGTAACCTTTAACCCCGAATCTGCAATCGTGACCTCTTTTCATCTGACCAAAAGGTAAAGCTGGTTCGGAAGACATTATTACTTTTAAATGTTTCAAAGATGAAATCGAATTTGGGTTAATTATTATCACTAGAAGTTATACGAGACGAGATGGTCTGCAATTCCCGAGGACCATTAATAGTTTTGAGTTTTGAGAAATAATTATTCAATGGATCTGAATGGATCTGATAAAAGTCGAGTTTGCCCAAATATAATCAAAGTTCTGCAAAATTATGGATGGTATAGGAAAGCTCAAATCGAAATTCCTGATAAGGCTATACCGAAGCTGGACATTATGGGCGAAGGTGAAGCGATTTCGGACACAATTTTCTCATTCCAACGTGGTTATCACGTTTGATTACTGAAAAAAAATAAGAATGTGACAATTGAAAATAATTATACTTTGGAGATATAAACAGAATTGAAAAATCACAATTGAGAATGAGTGATAACTGATAAAGTATTCTAGGATATATATCACAAAATTTTCCATGGAAAAATAAAATATTGATTTTTCACTCATCGCTGGCCTAATTAATCAATATTATATGTAATGCTTGCTAAAAACGTCTGATGAAAAAAAGATAATGACGACTCAATTAACAAGATGTATATCTCAAGAAAATCAGGTGATTCCATATCATGTGGAGGGCAATTGAAAAATTAAAAAAATTTTATATTGATAAATGAAAGAATCTTTGAATTCGAATAAAAAAATTAAGAGGAAAAGTTCAAAAATTTTATAAGTTTCGGCCAATGAAATCACCATGTAACTGAATATTGTTTCAAATTTGCAAAAACATATAAAATCATGTCTTTTAAATGCTTATAACTTTTGATTTAACCGTTCAATTAGAATAATTTTTGTAACTCTGGTCATGGTCTATAAAATAGGATGGATATTTTCATATATGCATTTGAAAATTTCCTATTTGGATTTAAAAATTAGTAATTTTATATTGATGTCCCAAATTGTACAATTTATCACATCTTGGAACTAAATGTTGAATTGGAGATAAATTCATTTCTTCAAGTAAACTTATTAGGTTATTGGAACTATTAATTTTGTTCTTTGTACGATTAGCTAGTTGTAATCTTTTAGGTTAGCTTTTCTTTTTCAATAAAGAATATTGAGTTTATAATAATTGATTTCGTTTCGTGTTTCGAATGCAGGTCTTTGCTTTATCAAAAATTTTCTACACAATGTAAAATGCAACGAACATTAGTAGGTTTTAAAGGTCAAGATCTGTGGAAGTTCTTCAAACTATTTATTAGCAAAATTCCATTAAAAATTTTCGTCATCCCTAAGGATACATAAAAATGAAACGTACTATATTTCATGAAAAAAATAAAAAAAAAAAATCCGTTTAGTCAAAATTCATAAAGAAAATTCCTAAAGAATCCTTACCTAAAAAATGCAATTTAGAATATTTCAGAATATTTTAATTCTATAAAATGCAACATTTATGGGAAAAAAATGTATTGAAAAAAATCCAAACAATCCAAAGAATCTTACAGATCCATTGATTTTAAAGATTCTGTAGAATTTTTATAAAAATTAAAGGTTAACTTTATGGAATTAATAAACATAATTATTTGAATACCTACTGAATAAATACTTATTTAGTCAATTAAAAAAATCAATTAACTTTTGAGTAAAGTGTTCAAGTTATATGTTTATTGTTAATCAAATCACATACGTAAAACTTTTCATTATAATAATATTATAATTTATCGTTAACCATTTTAAAATGAAATGTACTTTCAATATGTTTTGTAAAATTAATACTCATAAATTTCACAATTTCAAGTTGAAATAATAACTTAGTATTCAATCATTGAGTCGAATCTTTTTTAGTGTTTTTTTTTGTAAGATAATTCTAATACTTTAGTCAAAAAATATAGATGGATACATAATTTATTTATTGTATAATATCAAAAAAAAAGATTATTATATAATATATTTTGAAATTTTATTAGTTAAGGGTCAAAAGGAATAAAAATATAATCACTAATTCACTAATTCATTTCAAAAATATAAGAATTAATTATAATAATTCATTAACCTAATTTACCTCTCTACAACACGTGAACATTCAAAAATTATTAAAGTATGGAAGTTCTTTAAGTCATTTATTATTATTAAGTAGAACCTATAAATTATTAGAATTTTAAGGATCTTCCCCACCAAAAATTTTCTTGATGTATATTTACATTTACTAAAAATTCTTTAAAGCTTGCTTTTGTACCTGATATCAAAAAGATTATTACGATAGGTTAAAAAAAAATAATATCATTATAATAATGAAATATAATTATTATTTTTAACCTTGTCATCATTAATTAACATTATATATATATATTTTTATATATATATTTTATCATTTTATTCTATTGAAGGGAAATATACAAATTCTTTACAATATTATTAAAAATAAAAATCTTTAAAATATTCTAAAGTTCTAAACTCTCAATCAGTGACACATGATTAACCCAGAAGTTATATTTTAAGTCAAGTCAAAAAAAAAAACATCTTGTTTGTAATACGTTTAAATTCTATATATATAATAAATATTTATTTAAAAATATAATGAAAATATACTTGTGTACGTCAATGATTTCTTTATTACGTGAAATAAGTCTTTGATTTTTTTCTAATTATCTCCTTTTCTTTGTTCATAGTATTTTTTCATATTTCTAAAATGGTTTTTGGTTTCGGTAAAACGGAAATTCGTTTGTACCTTAATCGAGAGATGTAGAGTACATATTTGTTAGTACATTAAATCGATATTATTGATGCAATATTGATATTATTAGTCATTATTGATATTAAATTGAATGACTCGGTATTTCATTATTTCCATTGGTCTGATTTATGTTAGAAATTTAAAAGCCGAATTCCTAGAATGAAAGTTTAAATTCATTGAATAGTTAAAAATTAGTTAAATTAATTTTAATCGTTCTCTCTTTTTATATGTAAATAAATAAATACTTTAATGGGACCCAATAGGACAAAAATCCAGCAAAGGAAATATTTGTTGTAAAAGAAAAAAAAATAAATAATGAGAAGATTTAAAAAGTATTTTTACAATATATAAATTACGGGTGGTCGAAAGGTAATTTTTTTTTTTTCTTTTTATTACGTTTGTTTTTTTTTTCTTTTTTTGAAAATTTGAAATTTCGAGTTTGTGATAACAGAAATCAAATATATATATAGATGTGATACTAATAATACTTTAGGTCAATATTAAAAAAAAAATCAATTAATTATACTAAACTATAATGAATACTATAAACAGGTATAAACAATAAAATTACTATAAAATGTATACTTAGTTAGTATAAAATTATTTATAAGATAAACCAAAATAACTGACAGAAAACGTGAGAAACTTTGGTTTGACGTCTGTAACCAACTGCAGCACCTCCTGACTCATTGCATTAACTACAAATTTTGACTACCTAATTTTTCACGCTCTTCCGGAATCATTTCCTGATAAGTATTTTCAACGAATAAAAAGTTCGCGATAAATGTCAGTTACACATATCTAATAACCATAAATAAATAAAATATAAAATAAATGTAATATAAAAATAAAATAAATTCTTTTAGTCGTACACGACATGCATTACATTATCAAGCCGGACAAAAAACAATTTCTCTTATCTCAGTAAATACGTATTACTTAAACTTAGTTCTTATCTTTTTTATTGACTTTATCATTATCATTATCGATAATACTTTACTTTTCAAATTTACTTATGTACTTTAATTTTAATTTATCCTTCAATTTGTATTTTTTGTATTTTTTTGCTATTTTAAGATTAATTTAAAACTTTTTTTTTCATTATCAAATGGAAATGTTTCTTTATAAAAATATCTATCGATATAAATATAAAACAAACATTACTCCTAACAAACAATTACTAAAAAATCACTTAATAAAAAAAAAATCTATAAAATTCCTTTTTTTCCTAAAAAAAAAAAAAAAGAAAAAAAAAATAAATAAAATACGGCCAGGGAGTCATACCCATATTTATAAAATTCTTAAATTAAATTTATTTATAAAACCGTGCGAATTCAATTTTATTATTATTATTTTTTTTTTATTTTTCTATTTAATTTATATAATTCCAATATCAATACAAATACAAATATCAAATACAAATATTAAATACAAATATCAAATATAATATCAAATAATTATGAAATTACAATTTTTACTACAAACATCTTCAGCCGCTACTCAAGTTCTTACTAATCCAGAACTTTTAGGCATAATAATTTCTCATATTGAATATGATGATATAAATTCCCTTTATTCATTTTCATTGGTAAATAAATTCTGGTGTAAAATTGGTATTCCCTACCTATGGAAATCACCATTATCTTTAAATCTCCTCAATATTACTAAGATCATACCAATTTATATTTCATGTTTAGATAAATTAACTAAACAGAAATTGTCACAATTATTAAAACATGATTATAATAAAAGGGAAAATATTTTAATTGAAAGTATTTATAATAATCATATTTATAATAGTCAAAATAATAATCATAATAATCATAATAATCATAATCATAACTTCCAATTATCAAGAATAAATGAAAATTTAAGAAATATAAGAAATTCATTTATTAATTTATTAAGATCAAATTATTTATTCACAAAACCATCAACTTTTAATTATTTAGAATTTATTAATGAAATTAATTTACACTCTTTATATAAACTTATTTTTGAATGGTTATCCGATTTATATTCCAATGCCACCATAATTAATTACATCATCGATGACACAAATTCCCTTATTAATTCTATCAATACCAACATTCAAAATATAAACTATAATAATAATATAATCAACGATCAAACACTAATATTGACACAACAATTCTTTAACTTTTTTATAAACAATTCAAATCATCTTCAACATTTGAAATTTGAAGATTTTTATAATTCCCCTCTTACCCTTATTCAATCTTTTGTTTCTGATAATAATAATGATCAACAGAAATTACAATCACAATTATCAAAACTTAAATCATTAGATTTGCAATTAATTAATATTAATCCTGATTTGATTTCCAAATTTAATTCTTACAATACTCATCAACTTCATACAATTAGTTTAAAATCTAAATATGAAAGGGTTCCACCTAATTTTTCTTTATTAATTGAAAAACAAGAAGGATTAAAAATTCTTTTATTAGAGAATGTCAGAATTGATATTCCAACTTTCGTTTCTATAAATTCTCAATATTTATCACTTGGAAATTTATCATTAATCAATGTGATAGTAAATTCTTCAGATGCGTTAAAGAAATTATCTAGATGCATAAATTTACACACCTTGAGAATTGAATTTAACAAAGAAATACCTGAAACTTATAATAATTTAAGTAGATTATGGAATTTACAATTTCCAATATTAAATAAATTAATAATTATTGGAAATATCTCAAAGAATGATTTGGAAAATTATAATTTTGAAAATGACATTTTAAAATTTTTCGGAATTAATTGTAAATCCATAAAAGAATTGAAATTAAGGATAAATTCAAAATTTTATTTCAAAATTTTACCGAAAGTTGGAGAAGATTTTATAAATTTAAAAAAATTGACCATAGATAATTTTAAAAATAATAATAATAATTGTAATTCCTTATTTCAAATATTTAAATTATCAGAAATGAAATTAGAAAAATTAAAAATTTTAGCAAAATGTTATGATTATTCAACCAAAACCAATTCTTATTCACCTAGATTATTGGGGGAAATTCAATTACCTAGATTATCTGAATTAAAAGGATTAAGATATTTAAAGCATTTAGATTTAGAAATGAAATTTACCTCAGTTCAAATAAGTCATTTACTTGACATGTGGAATAAAGTTCCATTAATTCACCTTAATTATTTATGTAAGGATGATGTAAGTGATCATCATTCAATATTATCTAAATTTAGTCAATCATTGAATCAGCAAAGGCTTTATAAAGTTGATATAAAGGATTCACCTTATTGGTATGATAATACAACTTATAGAATTGATTTAGATTTATATCATTGTTGTATTTAAAAATACAAATAATTATTATTGATTACTTATAATAAATTAGTGTAATATTTTTTTTTATATTGTGGCAGATTGGTTGTGTGTGTGTATAATATAGTATGGGCTGGGCAATTGTTATAATAATTTTTTATAAGGACATTGTTAAATAAGGATTTTTTCATTTTTTTTCATTTTCTTCCTTCCTTTTTTTTTCACTTTTTCACCTTTTATCTTTTTTTTCTATTTTTTTATTCCATTTTTTTTGAATATAAAAAGAAATATGACCCGTTTGTAATGGGGGATTTCTTTTAGTAAATAAAAATTACTCTAATTTTTGATGTCGTATGTATATAAAGCAAAATCTTTATCTATTACGTAAACTTTTAGTTTACTTAAAAATTATAGTCATCTTATTTGTAGCAACATGTGACTTGTTACATGTACAACAATGATATTTGGGAAAGATAAAGATAAAGATAAAGATAAATAGATAAATACAGATAACAAATTATTTAAATATTTTTGAAAAAAAAATGACCACAACAGAAATAACGAATAATAATAGGACAAATAATGGAACAAACAATAGAACAAATTATTTAAAAGATAGTCCGAAAGTTTATTTACAAGAAGCAATCGATCAAGGGAAGTTAAAATATATATCGTATGACACGTTTAATAATATCAAGATCATAAATTCGGGGGTATTTGGAAAAGTATTTCGTGCATATTGGTCCATTGGAGAGAAGAATGTAACCTTAAAAAGTTTAGAAAATGAATATGAATCTGATGATCAAAATTTTTATCAGGAATTAGTTAAAGAGGTTGGGAAAATGTTTCTTTAAATATACATTTTATTTATTTATTTTTTATAACATACATTTTTATGGATATATATATTTTATAAATAGCTTCGAATAATTCGTGAAGTTGATTTTCATGATTCAATCAATCGTTTCTTTGGAGTGAGCAAAGGTATTTCATTAAATTATATTTAATAATAATAATAATAATAATAATAATAATTATTTAATTATTAATTAATTATTATGATGATCTTATGAATCTAAATTATAATTTTATAGATTCGATAAATCGATATTATTTAGTATTGGAGTATTCGAATGAAGGAAATTTAAGAGATTTCTTAATGAACCAATTTTCTAATCTTGATTGGATAAAAAAAATCAACATATCCAAAGAAATTGTTCGTGGTCTTCGATGTTTACATAGTCAAAATATAATTCATGGAAATTTACATCCAAGGAATGTATTAATTCATGATGGAAAAATAAAAATAAGTGATTTTGGAATATCCAAACCATTAGATATAGTTTCAACGTCAACTCGGAAAGGAATGATTGCATATGTTGATCCACGATTATTAAATAATTCATATAAACGAACAAAATCTTCAGATATTTATAGTTTTGGAGTTATGCTTTGGGAAATATCGAGTGGTAAAATTCCGTATAAAGATGTTGGTTGTTTACAAATTCTAATTGGATATAGAGAATCACCTATAGCCGGAACTCCGAATGAATTTATTGACATATATACAAAAGCGTGGAGTGAATTTGAAAATCAACGTCCAACAATTCAACAAATATGTGATTCTTTAGATAAAATAAATTTATTCGATTCATCAACTCAACAATTATCACAACTTCCACAACTATCACACCTTTCACAATTTTCACGAATATCACAAATATCACAAACATCGCAACTATCACAATTATCACAATTATCACAATTATCACAATTGTCGCAACGTCGGGGGGATAACAATTCTTATGTTTTTAATTATAATAATAATAATAATAATAATAATAATAATCACAGATTTGACAAAAATGTAAACTCTGTAAATATAAATGTCGATGAAAGTATTAGATCTTCTTCTGTAGTTAGAAATGTTGATAGAAATGGTGATAAAAATATTGTTGATAAAAATATTGTTGATAAAAATATTGTTGATAAAAATATTGTTGATAAAAATTCTGTGGATAAAATTACGGATAAAAATGTAGATAAGAATGTAAATGAAAATGGTTTCGATAAAGTGGAAGATAGAAGAATTTTCATGAGTAGGTATTAATTTAAATAATAAAATAAATTGTAATAAATTATAAATGAATGTATAATAATAAACTTATATTATATAATATTAATTAAAATGTTAACAAATTATAGGTCGAAAACTTCAAAAACCAAAAGATAAAGATGCGAAACGTCAAAGGGCAGCTTATCCTATTTCTAAAAAGGTTGAAGTAGTAGAATATGCTAAAAAGTATAGTAGAAATGCAGCTTCTAGACGTTACGGTCTTGACGCTCCAATGGTCGGTCGTTGGGTGAAAGCAAGTGAAAGATGGAAAAAAGATACAAATAAAAATGTAATGAAACTTGGTTCAGGAAGAAAAGCTTTCTTTCCTAAAGCTGAAGAAAGATTATATGAATGGATTATCGAAAGACGTCATAATACTAAATCAATGACTTATTCTATGATTAGAAAAAGAATGTTAGAAATTTTAAAATTACCTGAAATGGTTTCAGTATATCCAAATGCTTATCAATTTAAAGCCAGAAGTCGTTGGTTAACAGCATTTATGAAAAGAAAGAAGATTGCTTTAAGGAGAAGAAATAAATCCTCACAACAATTATCTGAACAACTTAGTGAAGCATTCTATAAATTTCGTAGAGATATATTTCAATTAAGATATTGTCTTACTTTCGAAATGTGTAATATATTAAATATGTGTGAAACTCCTATTTGGTTTGATATGCAAGGTAATTTTGCTATTAATCCTATTGGTGAAAAGAATATTAATTTTACAAATAATGATAAAAACGATAAAAGAGATAAAAGTAATAAAAATAATTTTACAGTTATTCTTACTTGTGCTGCAGGTAATTATTATTTATTTATTAATTACATATTATTTATTTATTTATTGTTTTGCTATTATTATTACAATTATTATTGCGATATTATTATTTCAATTGTTATTATTATTATTATTATTATTTCGATTATTATATTTTATTTATTATAATTATTATTAACTATTTTATAGATGGATCAAAATATCCACCTATTTGTATATTCAAAGGAGGACAATTGCCACGTGATGATAATACACCTAATGGAGTTTATGTATTGTTTCAGGAGGATGATCGGATGAATTATTATATTAATTATTTAAGTCGAATTAGAGAATTAAATCGTCAATCAAATAATTCTGCTTTAATGATTTATGATCCTTGTTGCGGTAATAATTTTAGTAATAATAATAATAATAATAATAATAATAATAGTAATAATAATAGTTATAATAATAATAGCAATAATAATAGTAATAATAATAGTTATAGTAATGATAGTTATAATAGTTATAGTAATAATGGTTATAATAGTTATAGTAATAATAGTTATAATAGTTATAGTAATAATAGTTATAGTAATAGTGATGAACAACAATATTTCGATGAATCTATTCAAAAAAAATTTTCTGATAATAATATTCGTTTAGTTATAATTCCTCCAGGATTAAAAAGTGTTTGTCAACCACTTGACAATATTCTTAGTAAATCATTCATTGATAATTTAAGAAATGAATGGTATCAATGGATGAAAATTGATGATAATGATAATTATACTTCCACTGGTCATCGTTTAGCTAAATTTAGTGATGTTTGTAATTGGGTTAAAAATTCTTGGGATAAAATTCCTTCGGATATAATTTTATGTTCATTTAAAAAATGTGCTATTTCTAATAATTTGGATGGTTCCGAAGATATCATGATTTATGATGATATTAATGAAATTGTTAATGAATTACAAAAAGAAAAAGAAATTGAAGATTTGGTTAATGGTGATGATGAATATGAAGTTATTGATTTAAGAGAAGAAGGTAATGATGATAAAAATAATAATAACAATAACAATAATAATCAATATCAATATCAATAACAATAATAACAACGATAATAATAACGATAATAACAATTACAACAATAATATTAAAAAATAACAATTGTCTAGTGCAAACGATCTTTTTTTTTGTTTTATCATTGTAAAAAAAAAAAATAATAATTTGACATTATATTGTAGAAATAATACGTGGGTGGGAGGGCATTATATTGCAATAATCTCTTTTTCTTATCTTATTTTGCTTATTTCTATCATGAAATTTTTGGTTATATTTTAATTTAATCTATGTATATAAATATCACAATATTTTTATCACATATTTGTATAGTTATTGTTATTTCAATTTCTATTTTATTATTCATTTATCATTAAAAAAAAAAAAATGGAAACAAAACCATTGTTTGAAATTCAATGTGCGGAATGTGCGCTAACACAAAATTTGAAAACTCCGTACAAATTTTTGCATATTTCGATTTAAAATTAATTAGCATATCATAAATGTTCTTCAAATTTAATTCAAATTTTTAATTCTAATTCTAAATTTCTAATTCTAATTTTAATTCTAATTCTAATTCAAATTAATTTCGGATATGGAAATATCAAAGCTGAAGAAAATATTCAGCATAATGAACAATTGAAAAGTAGAATACACAATTTACAAAGTTTATCCGAAATTTGAATTTTCAAATTTTTTCATGCATTTTTTCTTTTGTACAGCTATCATGTATCCATTTACGCAATCTTTTATAAATAATAATTTATGACATTTTTTTAAATGTATTCAGATAATGAGCAAGAATTTGATAAAATAAAGTAAAGCTAAATATTTAGGGAAATTGCAAATGATCAAAAACAAACGAAGAGAAGGTCAGAGATTGAAGGTTTAAAAGAACCCAGTGTGCAAAAAGTAAACTCTTAATTTCATTATCAGGGATCTAAGAATAAAACAATTAGTTTTTAATTTTTTATATTTTATATTTTCATTTTTTTTTTCGATTTCTTTTATTATCTTTTATTTATTATAATATTATAAGGGTACAATATTTCTATATTGTTGTATATAATCACACTGTCTATAATCACCAATTATCTATAATCACCGCTTTATTCGGTACCAAAAATTTTTTTCTATATTATATTATAATCACCTAGGCTTATAATCACCACCAAAATTCGGTCTCAAGGTGGTGATTATAGTGATTATATATAGGTTTGACTGTATATTTAAAATTTTTAATTCTAAATGAGAAAAGTTCTACTAATTATATTACAGATCAAGGACATATTTTGCAAATGTTAGTGATAAATAATAATTATTATTCTTTATTTTATCTTAACTTATTAACTATTTTCAATATAAATTATTTTATTCATCAATATTTAAATTTTTAGATCATAATCTTAAATCTAATCAATATAAGTATCTTAGCAGTAAAATCTGGTTTAAAAGTTCTAAACACAGCGAAAATGCCAAAACGTGTAAATTCTGTGGGAATATTGTCTTAAAAAAAAAAAGCCATAAGCACGTAAAAGGGTAATTAGTAATTCTAGTATTTCGAAATATAATAAACTGGAAACACTGGTAAAATTCATGTGATTATTTCGGGTTAATGATGAAACGTGATCAAATCTCACTTTTCTATTGGTTAGGAGGAAACGTGATCAAATCACACTTCTTTATTGGTTAGTCTCTAACAATAAAATTGATTATCATTGTTTCACATCAACACAATTTTGAATCGCTCGCTCTTTTTAGATATGCTTAAATTTATAAAGCTGTGAAGTAATTTTTATTGCATATTTTATATGTTTATAAATATTATATTATTTTTTTTTAGGAATTCATTTTTACATTATCATAATGTATTGCGATCAGTAAAAAAAACCAATATAAAAATCAAATTTCAATGTTTTAATTTATATAAGAATTAGAAGAAGATAATAAAAACTTTCGAATAAACTTTATAATTAAATAAATAATATTTAAAAAACTTTAAATTAATTATATTAAATAAACATTGTAATTTAATAAATGATAATGATACCTAAATATTTATATTGAAAAAACTTTTATAATTTATAAAAACTTTAATTATACTTAATAAACTTTTATAATTTAATAAATCATATAAAAAACTTTAAATAAAAAATTTTTATTAAAATTTTAATGAATTATATCATTAATATTAATAAATGGATGTCAATACCGCCCATTTCTTCAATATTCCAATATTTGTAATCTTTCTGTTAATTCATTTACAGTGTATCATCTATTTTATGGATCTCTTCTAGATTTCAATATCTATACCATATATTGATTTTTTTTTAATATGAAAATTAAATGCAGTATTTTCTGAATCTCAACAATTTTGTAAGATGTTCCTAACAAATTTATAAAAAAAATACGAACAAAGTTGCAATACATTAACCACAACTAATTTCGTTCTCTTTTACATTGCACCTGTCATAGTTTCTTTATTTTTTTTTTTTATAAATCCTTGAATCCATGTTCTCATAATATAAACTGTACAAAAAATTATTTTAAACTCTGATTCATTTGCTTTAAACTTTTTTTATACTGTTGGCTTCAAATGCTGCTTTGATCTATAAGAATATATGCCAGATTCAATTTTACAAAATGTTTAATGATCTCAAATATATAGGTGCCAATCATGTCTGTTGAATCAATTAAAGTTAGAAGACTAGTTGTAAACGTGATAGTGTTCACAATAATATTCTTGATTTTAAATATGTTTCTGATTCAACGCAACATTACATACCAGATGTAGGCCTCACAATTTACATTTAATATTTGCTACTTACTTCACTTTAAATCCTTTAATTCGTAATCCGTAGGTCAGAATCACATGATGAAAATTAATCGGGGCTAATTTAATAATGGTAAAATAAAGATTTTTGAAAACCCCTTTACCTTTGGTTTCACGTCCTTTAAAAATAAAAATACAACTATTTTCGGCCGGTAACCTTATCCAGAACTTCATTATAGTCTATTGGTGGTTTTTTACTAAAAAAAAAAAAATATAGTGACGAAAAAAGTCCAAATAAAACTTAACAAAACCAAATAAAAACTAATAAATTTTATTAACATTGACCAAAATGAAAATTTATTTCGGCTAAAACTGAATTATATATGTCAAAATTTCGCTTTCCATATAAAAAGTTTACGAAAATAAATATAAAATTTTTTCCAAAATTTTACTCCCAAAATTTACTTAATGATTTTTATACTTCAGAAAAAAAAATATTACCATGTATTTTAACGAAATAATATAAATAATATAATCTGAATAATCATTTATAAAAACTATTTTAATAAAGAATAAAATCACAAAATCATTTCAATATCAAAATCATTCTCATTAATCTCAAAATCAGCTTGACTTGAATGAGAACATTTAACTAAAAAATATTATATTTAAGTGTCATAAATATGTATCGTTTAGCAATTTTAAATATCAATTTTTAAAATTCAAATTAGAGAAGAATATGAATTACCTTTTGAAACTGATTCTTTATGTCCTGAATAAATTTAAAAATATAAATTATGAGTTTTTACAATTATTTTAATTTTTAATAAATTGAATTGAAACTTACTAATAAACATTAACTTAAATTGTTCAATTGTAGAATTTAAAGGTCTGCTTCTGTAAACAGCTTCAGGATGATAATTTCTATAACTATCTTCTTCCAATGCTCTTAAAAATTTTAACTCTACTGAAATTTTTCTTAAGTTTTCAGCTTGAACAAATTGACCATCATTTTCATTTTCCCAACACCATTTATAAAATTGCTCTTTAATTTCTGTTATATTAGGCCTTTTAAGTGGATTGGAATCCCAACATCTTTTCATTAAATTACTAAATACCTCTGGTGTATCGTCGTCAGTAATTTCTGGTCTTAATCCACCTCTGATATTGCACATGAGCCTAGAATTATGAGGTATATCTCTAAATGGTTTATGACCTGATGTAAATTCCACATTAGCATTCCAAAACTATATACGTCTGAAGCTTTGCTATATGATGAGTCTTCAAATATTTCAGGAGCAACGTAAGGTATTATTCCATATACACGATTTGTTGAATTATCAATATTTCTACATAACCCTAAATCAGCTATTCTAATTGAGCCAAGAATCCCATTAACTCCCATTAAAATGTTTCCTGAATGAAGATCTCGATGGATAAGATTGTTATTATGGATTTGTTCAATTCTGTGTAATATAAAGTAGTTTAAAGTTAGTATTGATATTTACTTAATTTAAACTCAGTAATTAAATACATGCCCTGCTGCAATAGAATATAATCTTTCCAACTTTGTTTGCCAATTAATTTTATCAAAATTTCTCCTTAAGTCCATATGTAAACTTCCATCTTCTGCAAATTCCATTACCATAATATTATCATCAGTGTTAGGATCTCTAGTTATTCCATAACATTGTATAATAAAATCATTGGAACTTGTTATTCCATGAGATATAACCTATTTAATTATAAAAACTATTTATTTGTATTTAAAAAATGATAAAATTCAATTAAAATTTAATTAAACATACTTCTTTCAAAAAATGATCTGTCATAACTTTAGAATTATGTAGACTTTTAAGTGCCACCTTGATTTCATTTTCTTCATCTTTGATCCAAATAGCACTGTTAACTTTACCAAAACCACCTTCTGCTATATATATTATATTTTTAAATTGAGAATATGGAATCCAATTTATTAATTCACTTGACTCTGATGTTACTATTCTAGATTCAGTATGTTGCTTTTGTGTCTTAGTATCAGTTATGGATTGTATTTTTTTTTTTTCTGTTTTTATTATTAGATTTAATACTGAAGTATCATCTGGATTTATTAAAATCCATTAATGCTTCATTAAACTTTTCTAAAAATATATAAGCTTCTCCTCGTGATCTTAAAGCAAGAACATTATTTGGTTCTATTTCCAATACTTCGTTATACTTTTCAATAATTTCTTTATGTAAATATCGATTATTTGGTTGAATTTTTAAAGATTTTTTAAAATCTATTAATGCTTCATTGTATTTTTGATCTGTTACTCCGTTTAACCTTAATGCAAGAGCATTATTTGGTTTTAATTCTAATAATTTAATAAACTCTGTTAATACTTCATTAAACTTTTCTAATCTTTGATAAGGATCTCCTCGCAATCTTAATGCAGGATAATTCAGTCCTAATTCTAATAATTTATTAAAATCTGTTAATGCTTCATTATGTCTTTTTAACTTTTGATAAGTTTCTCCTCGTAGCTTTAATGCAAAATAATTATTTGGTTCTAATTCTAATAATTTATTAAAATCTGTTAATGCTTCATTATACTTTTCTAACTTTAGATATGTTTCTCCTCTTACTCTTAACGATAAAGCATTATTTGGCTTGATTTTTAAAGATTTATTAAAACCTATTAATACTTCATTATGCATTTTTAACTTTTGATAAGTTTCTACCTGTGAAATTAATGTGAGATAATTATTTGGTTCTAAATTTAATAAACTATCAAAATCTGTTAATGCTTCATTATACTTTTCTAATCTTTGATAAGCTTCTCCTCGTGAACTTAATGCAATAACATTATTTGGTTCTATTTCCAATATTTCGTTATACTTGTCAATAATTGCTTTATGTAAATATCGATTATTTGGTTGAATTTCTAAAGATTTTTTAAAATCTGCTAATGCTTTATCGTAATTTTTTAATTTTTGATATGTTACTCCTCGTAACCCTAATGCAAGAGAATTATTTGGTTTTAATTCTAACAATTTATTAAAATTTGTTAATACTTCATTATACTTTTCTAAATTTTTATAAGTTTCTCCTCGTAACTCTAATGCATGAGCATTATTTAGTTTTGATAAGGACATTTCACTATGCTCACTTGAAGATTGAATTTTTATCTTTTTTTATTCACAAAGGCTTGAAAATTAAATCAAAAATTAATAAATATCGTGCATTATGGATAAAAGAAACAAAAAAAAAATTTGATAGAAATTACTACAAGGAAATTCCCACCCTGTATTTTTTATTACTTATTTATGTCAAAGTTTCAAAGTTAGGTGTTACGGTATGTGCCGATCAACAAGATTTGTCACGTGGATTGTACATAATAACGTAATTTGTACCTATTGTCGCGGTCTGCGCAGAACAAGTGGAAAGTTAAGCCAATCAGTCTCAATAAGTTTGGGTCAATCACACGATAATTCAATGTACTACTAACACAATTTCTCTTGTGTGCAACATCCTAAAATACAGCAAGACAGGCAATCAGTCGATCTAAACCTGCTTACTAACACTCACAAACAATGCAATTACGTG